AAGAGGTACATACATACCAACATTATTTGTTTCTTTCATAGACTGATTTGCAGTTGACAATTTTTTATTACAATAAAATTTGCTCTATAAACTCAACAAATTCAATGAATTTAACTCAAGCAATACAAGACAGCGTTGAGTTGTCATGAATCATAAAGGTTCTAGATGGTTATGTATATCTCATTGTCGGTCCTAGTGAAACTAACTCGAACTTGAATTATCGTAAACACCCAATACAAGACAGCATCGTGTTGTCATGAATCATAAAGGTTCTAGATGGTTATGTATATCTCATTTTTCGGTCCTAGTAAAACTAACTCGAACTTGAATTATCGTAAACACCCATAGTCAGGCATAGACTAGGTAGGCAGAGAGAGGAAAGGCGACGCGAGTGGGCCGAGATGGATGGGAGGGCGCGATCTGGCGGGATAGATGGGAGGAAGGCAAGAGGAAGATGCATGAGCCTAGTAGCGTTTTCGAGTAAACGGGGTTTGAACGACCCAAGATTGGTTAATGACGTCATTGCAACCTCTCCACCAATAAAAGACTTGCATTTATAGTAAAATAGTGATTGATCAACCCTAGATCGTTCAAACCCCGTTTACTCGAAAACGCTATAAGTTAATATATTTAATACATATGTATATAATAAAGTTACTATATATATATCTAAATAATGCATTTGAAAGCATTACACACTTTATAAATTAAAAAAACTTTAGACAATTTTATACGGGCAATTTCAGCATACTTTTTTACTTACACTAGATACATTACTGTGTTCGTCACACATGCGCATATGGCTGGAATATTTACATGATTCAAAAGTTCAGTTGATGTCCAAACAGTGGTCTAGTATTCGAGCAAAGAGTGTCAGGTCTGACGGGTTCATGCAAGTCTGTGCAAGTCGCCGGTAAAACAAAAGGTGAACAAAACTGCGTTTCAATATTAGGAAAAGATTATAAATAGGTATATTTGAAAATAGTCAACAATGGACGAAAGTTTTAAGCATTGGCGTAATTCGAGTAAACGATTAGAAAACACCGATGAGTCCTTTGTTATTTCTGATGACAGTGAGATCGAAAATTCTATCAAAGTTGATAGAATAATTATCGATGAAAGCGATGATGACAGCGATGTATCGGAGAATACGACGCCAAAAAAGTAAGTATTGCGATAATAAAATTGCCATTGTTTTCTCGAGATCTAATTCCGGTGCATAGTTACGAAAATGATTTCCATGTGTACTCGTGACTTCATGACAAAAAACTGATATTTATATTGAAGCATAAACTCAACAAAATTATGCCAAATCCGTTGTGTGATTTTAAAGAAGCACATGTTTTTTTTATGTACATTTTTTAAACGAGTATGAAAATATTGGATACGTTTTAGGAAACGTACATGAAACGTATCCAATGTCTTCATACATGGTTAGGAAATGTATATGAAACAAACATGGTCTACTTGGGAGAATTTATTCAATTATCGTTTCCAATTCTGCAAACAATTATTAATACAATGATCAATATATATTATATGAAATAAGAATGAGATAGAAATATAAAAGTATGACAAAAAAAAAACAGTATTAAAGTATAAAAGTATTAAATGTGTAAGAAACTCATCTAACAAATATGTGCACTGTTTAAGAATTTGATTTTGAGATATTGTATGAGATAAAATATAAAAAATATATGGACAAGTTTTGTACAATTAAAATAATTTTAAATTGAAGAAAAACTATATTAATTTCGGGAAAATACATAATCATGTTAAATAAAAAGAAATATAAAGTCAAAATTTAAAAATCTATCAAAAAATATGTTGTGATTGACCGATAGATCGTGATTGATTGGGCAGCCCTGTTATAGAGTAACATAGAATATCAGTATAACATTCATTTTGTATAATTGTTTTGTTTTATGTTATATTTTTATATTTCTATCTTATTCTTATTTTAATATCATATTAATATTTACATTTTAATATCATACCTTTTGTTTCTACTAATTGCCCTGTTTTTTTTTCTGTGTAATTTATATTCTAATGTATATGTATTATATATGCATAATATGTACTGTATAGTATTTAATTTTATTTCTGTATAGAAATAAATCCTTTGATGATGATGATGATGATGATACACCAATTGTTTCTTTGGCTAAAGGCAATAAGTTGAAAAAATATACAATAACAGATTCTGATGACAGTACTAATGATGATGATGATACTAGTAAGGACTCCATGCATGCAATTAATGACATCCATAAAAATTTTAATAATTCTGATTCAGATGGAAACAGTTTTCTAGACAAAAGCGATGATATATACTATAATGCAACACTACAATTTTATATATTTCAACTATATCTAAAATAATATATGATTTTTACTTGATTATTTTATGTTATTTTATAGATTCCTTTTCCTATTCATTACTTAAGAATAAAGGTAAAAAACGAAAGGACGTTAGTCATGATAATACAAAGGAAGATATAAAAGAATTAAAACTTAACTCTTCTAGTAGTGAATCTTTTAGTGAAGTTGGAAAAATAGTAAATAAATATTTAAATAATAGTGATGAGAAAACAATAGATGGAAATAGAACATCTGCAGTCGAAGTATCTCATGATGAGCCTGTGACAATTGAGCTTGATTCAGGTATTTTTACTTACAATATCAAATATGTAAATTGATCATTGAATAGATTTTACTTTATACTTAATGTATGACTATCAATATGCTGCAATTTATAGAATCTAGTTCAGGACGAAATACTCCAACATCTGAATTTGCATCATTAATTGGCAGAGAAGAAGCAAGAAATTTGGATTCAATAGTAGAGCAGGAGAGAGCAATTACTATTTGCAAACTTGAAAAGCTGACAGATGAAGTAGCCAAGTCAAAGGTAAATGTGAGATATATTTCAATTTGTTTATAATTAATATAATTTTTGTAAAGAAAGAAAGAGAAGAAAATTATTTTTGTTTTATGCAATTTGATCGTTAATAAAGTATCATTGTAATTTGTGAAGAAATGTATATGTTATATAAAAATCATTTTTAGTTATTGCTTACTAAAGGAAACGTTGAAGTTTTACCTGACGGAGGGAAAAAATTGCTAGAAAATATACGTGAGCAAGAAAAAGAAATTGAGAAATTAATAAACAAGTTACAAGAGACTACGTTTCCAAAACACAATTTTAATGAGGAAGAAACCGAAACGGTGGACGAATCAGAGTATGCCTCGTCTCACTCTGATGTCAGAGATGATCCATATTTCAGAGATGATCCATATTTTAGAGATGATCCATATTTTGACATACCAATGAGATCTACTACATCTGAATCAAAGGAACTAGGCAAGAAGGCACAGGAAACAAGAGATAAGGAACTCGCTTTAACAGTCGAACGATTGCAAGATTTACATAAATCGCTTGTAGCTCGTCCATCAGAAGATGAAAAAGCGGAAGATCCAAGAGGATTAAAAGTGCCATTAATGCCGCATCAACGACACGCTTTAGCATGGCTTCTGTGGAGGGAACAGAAAAAACCATCTGGTGGTATTCTAGGTAAATATTTAACAATTGTAGTTTGATATTCATATCAATCTTATATTATATTGTCATTGGGAACATTTTTTCTTTCAATTTTCTTGAATTGCAGCTGATGATATGGGTTTGGGCAAGACATTATCCATGATATCTTTAATCATGACTACTGCTGCTAAGAAAACTTCTGATGATGAAGACAGTGATGAATGGAATAGTGAGCGTAAACCTTCACGTACGTAGAAGTTCATTTTACAATACCTAAGCAAAAAATCTTGATTTTTCGATATTTGTTTTTTCTTCTGAATTTCTGAATCATTTAAATTATGATATAAATATATCTAAAATAATCTATTGAAACAATTATATTTGATTACGATTTGCAGATTGCAAAGGTGGTACTTTGATAGTCTGTCCTGCGTCTTTATTGTCTCAATGGGAAAAGGAAGTGCAGAGTAAATGCAAACGCGGTTTGCTGTCCGTTGAAGTGCATCACGGCAATAAAAGAGAATGCGTTCCTAAACGCTTGGCAAGAAATGATATAGTCATCACAACGTACAATCTATTGCCACGAGAATACAGAAGCAATTCTACATTGTATAAGGTATGTGGAAACTCGAAAATGTTATTAACTAAATTGATAGAAACTTTTTATTGATATTGGTAGTTTTCTATCAAGAGACACAAGCAACACAAAAGTATTATTCTCTCTTTTGCTCATGGAATATCGAACAAGACAGAGTGATACTTGTGTCGATTTGTGTCAACTTGTGTCGATTTGTGTCAACTTGTGTCCTTTGCTGGAAAACAACCATATATAGACAAATGTGTTCCGAATTTTAATTTAATCGTAAGTTAAAATTTTTTTGCAGATTAAGTGGGAAAGAATAATACTAGATGAAGCACATATAATAAGAAATCACAAAAGTCAAGCATCTATAGCAGCTTGTGAACTCATGGCGAACAAACGGTGGGCTCTCACTGGCACGCCCATACAAAATAAAGAAATGGACTTGTATTCCATCTTAAAATTTCTTAGATGTTCACCGTTTGATGATATACGGGTTTGGAAACGATGGGTGGAGAACAAAAGTGCAGCCGGTCATCAAAGACTAGCAACAGTTACAAAAACTTTAATGCTGCGAAGAACAAAACAGGAATTGATAGCCAAAGGCGATATAGAGAATTTACCCAGCAAATCTATAGAAGAAGTAAATGTAAAACTAGACCCAGAGGAGCAATTAGTATACGAAAAAATTCTAATTTACTCTCGTACCTTGTTCGCACAATTCTTAGCTCAAAAGGCAGAAAAGAGTCACATGTTCGATTTGAACAGTGGAACATATGATAGACCTAGCTATCTTTCAAATCCAAGTGAGTTGAACATTTGTGAATCTGAAGCAAGATATTCTATTTTTCGGGTTTATGGTTAGCAAATTACGTGTCAGTATTTTGATGTTATCTTTTTTTTTCGAAGATAAAGAAACGAAGTTCACAAAAGCTCAGAACAAATTGCTTGCGCGGCACGCTGATGTAAAGACGCACGAGATTTTGGTGCTTCTGCTACGATTACGTCAGGTATGCTGCCATCCAGCATTGATTCACGCAATGCTCGATCAAGAGGATGTGCAACAAAGTGAAATAGCAGGCATGGGAAACATAGATCTCGACTTATTGTCTCGAGTGCATCGCATGTCGCTCAATGCGATCAATAATATGGATAAGGAAGATATGGATGAGGAAGATATAGATCAGGAAGATATAGATCGAAGAATTGTCGGAAATCTACTTACAATGGATAATCCAGTATTCAATGATGATCGCACCAGTTCTAAAGTAATGGCAATTGTATTATCTCGAGAGTTTTATAATTTTATTTGCGTGCAATTAATGTGTGTAATGTACGATATTTAGATGAGGGTCCTACTCGACACAGTTCAAACAATTTTAGAAAAGGGTGACGACAAACTCATTATCGTTTCTCAGTGGACCAGTTTGTTAGACGTTGTAGCATCGCGCTTATCTTCGATAAAAGGTGCTACTTTCAGCAAGTTTACTGGAAAAGTAGCCGTCAAAGATCGACAGGTATCCTATGAATGATATCGCTATCATTTACATGTAATAGTAGACGTAATAGTATGTATTCATTTGATCCCCTTCCAATTTTTGAGGGGGGTTACAAATTTTTTACATATCTCTTACATCTAGCTCATTTACATGTAATTTTTAGTACATTTAAAAAAATATTTATCTACCCTTTTTCAGAGTGTTGTGAATTCCTTCAACGATGAAAATTCTGAATCGAGAATTTTGCTGCTTTCGCTTACCGCTGGTGGAGTGGGATTGAATTTTGGTAGGCGGCAATCATTTATTATTGTTCGATATTCATTGGAATCCTCAACTCGAGTC